AGGATGTTGTCCCGGGGGGAAGGGAACTTTTAATTTTCTAAGGGGCGAGAGAATTGTTGATTAGAAAGACCCCGGGAAAAGAAGGGGAAAGGGAGAGGGAAAAGAAGATTTTTCCCCGGAGTAAGAGTTTTGGGAGAGAAAAATTGCTTTTAAACAAAGGAGAGGGAAGAGCTATGAAATGGGGAAGGGTAGCCCAAAACGGGGAAAAAGAATTTTTAAGAGTGGAAAATTCTGTATGGAAGAACTGAAGGGTCACAGATGTGGAGGGATGGAGAAAGAGGGAGATGATAAAACACTTTTCTTGACAAGGGAAAGCATGATAGGAAACGTAGTGAATGTAATGCCACTCGTGCATAGGTTTTCGGTATAAACGGCAAAAGGAAAAACTGTATCTGAGAGGTGGGTGGACATGGACATCAAGGAAAGGAAGCAAGGAATTAGATTCCCATTCAGCTTTAAACTTATGGAAGGGGGCCAAGATTATTAAGAGCTTCAAGAAAAGGTTGGAAGGGACTGGAGTCATGTGCCAAAGAGCAAAATGTCTCCACCCAATTTGCGGAGCCAGAGTGAAGGTTGCACATCGAGAGGTAAGGAAGAAGAACAGTCTCGAAGTATTCCATGTAAGATTAGCAAGGACATGGAGAGAGAGGAGAGCCATTGCACACCGAAGGTTTAGAGTATAATATTATCCCTTGGAAGGAAAAGGAGTTTAGAGTCCACACAGAGCGGATAAGATCAAGAAAGACATCAGTAGGTTAGGGAGAGACGAAGAAACCCTTCATGGGGCCTTCTCTCTAAGGAAATCAAGGACATCATCAAGAGGTTCTTCTGCTAAAACTGTCTTCCCTACTTCCAACTCGAACAGTCAGCGTCTAGTTGAAATCCTCTCTAATACACCAACTTTCCTTGTATGAACCTTTAGCCCTCGCTTCGTCTAGAGATGCCTTACTCTTCCACTACATTATAAAATGCTCAAACTTCAGAACACCGTGACTTAACCTGACTTTCATTTTTTCTTTTTATTTTTCTTCTTCTCCCTCTTCCCTTTCCTCTTTTCCTTTTCTCCTCTGGGTTGTCTTTCTCTCTTCTGTCCTCGTGTTTCTGTTCCTTCTTCATTTATTTTCACCACCTTCCCCTTTCACGCACTCTGTGCGCTTGCTCTCCCTCAGTGTGGCACTAGCTCTCTTGCATTATGCTCCTTCCTTGTATTTACTGGCTCGTCCTCCTTATTTTCCTCTTCTACACTATTACTTACTACACTCTTCTATACTATACTACTACAACTACTGATGAAAATTAAGACACATGTGCGGCGTCTGGTTGTCTTTGTTGTTGACGTTTCGCCATCAGTGGTGGCTGGATGGCGAAACGTTACGATAGGGATTGGCCCGTGTTGTGTGTTGCGCATGGGTCTTAATTTATTTTGTCAGTATTATACACCATTTTGTACTATACTATATACTACTACTACTACTACTATACTACTTACTCATACTACTACTACTACTACTAATACTACTATACTACTACTACTACTACTTACTAATACTACTAATACTACTTACTAATACTACTACTTATACTACTACTACTACTACTACTACTACTACCACCCCACCACCACCACCACCACCACACCTCTTTCCTGCCCTATATTAGCCGTCCTGCTCCACTTTGGTTAGTGTGACGTTGTCAATGGTCCAAAGTCGGAACCTGAAACGTCGTCGTAAAGCCTCTTCTTTGTTGTGCGGGTTATTTTGTGTATCTTCCAGTCAAAGTATTGTGCCTTTTTTATTAATTAATTATTTGGTGTTTACCTTATATGATTTTTTTGGTAAATATTCGGATTCCAAGCCAGGGTGAAACATTGGGCATGTTTCTTTACACCTGTTGTATATGTTCACTCATCAGTAAATGGGTACCTGGGTGTTAGTGGACTGGTGTGGGTGTTATCCTGGTACACTGACCTAATTTTCTTGAAATACTCTGCATAACAAGCGACTTTCTATATAGTAGTATGTCACGGATGTCAGCTAGGCCTGTGTACCATGTACATGTACGTGTAGTAAAGAACATAAGAACATAAGAAAGGAGGAACACTGCAGGAGGTCTGCTGGCCCATACTAGGCAGGTCCTTTACAATTCATCCCACTAACAAAACATTTGCCCAACCCAAATAAGAACATAAGAAAGGAGGAACACTAAATAAGAAAGGAGGAACACTATTTGTTGGGTTATCTTATTAAAACTTGGGCAATGTATGATGGAAAGATACTTCTTAACGTACACCAAAAATGAAAGAAATCAGACCATAAATAGCGGAGAGTTCACTTCTCAGGCCATTAGCGGCAGCTTAGCGGTATATTTTTGTATGGTTTTTATGGTTATATTCTCGTTTTTTTCGGTCTCATTTGATAGAATGAAAGATATATTACAGAAACAAATATGATTTTGATTGTTTTCATGACAAAAAGTACCTTGAAATTGCGCTCACAGTATCGAAAACGTTCTATTCTTTAGCGAAGCTCAAGAGTAAACAAATGACGTCACCATCCAATACCTGTCTGCCTGCCAGTCCAAATTCCAATACGGAGTCAAGAATGGGTTGACATTATTTATACAATTATTACAATAATGCAGCAGTCTGCATGACAGTAAATCTTCTATTTTTTTGTGAATAAAAATTCCAAATGGTAAGCAAGAGTAATATAAGAGGGTCCTGTAGCCATGACTAATGAACAGAGAAAATGTTATTTTAGTGCCAGGAATGTCTGCATTGTTTATTCTGAACCCTATTTTGAAATTGGCATCTGTTGAAATTTGTGTGAAATTGGCCAAATTGCCAATTTCTGACCACTTTATTGGAGTATTGAAATAAGTGAATGGGCAGTTTCTTGTACTCAGTTGACAGACTAGAAGTAAATAAGTTTATTCAGGTATACACAAATACAGTTACATAGATTATCATACATAGCAGTGTATGTATAGAGAACCTAGGATAACCCAAAAAAGTCAGTGACTTATTTCCAGTACCTGGCTTGGGCTTGCCATATATGATTTTTGGGAAATATTTTTTTTTCTCGGTTGTTTGTTGGGCTATCTCATTGAAACTTGGGCAATGTATGATGGAAAGATGCGTCTTAATGTACAACAAAAATAAAAAAGACGGACGATAAATAAGGGAGTTCACTTCTCAGCCATTATCCGCCTCTTTTCAGTACATTTTCATATGTTTTTTATGGTTGTATTCTCATTTTTTTTTGGACTCATTTGATAGAATGGAAGATATATTACAGAAATAGACATGATTTTGATTGTTTTCATGATGAAAAGTACCTTGAAATTGAGCTCAAAGTAGCGGAAATGTTCGATTTTTGCGAATGTTCAATGAACTTTGTGTAAGTCAAGTTGGTTAATTTTATTAAGTGTATTCTAGCCTAACCACTCTGTAATCCGGCAAACTCAGTAATTCGGCACACTACAGGTGCCAATGATGCCGGATTTGTGATGGAGGACCTGTAGCTAAGAATTTGGTTGACTGGAATAATGTAATTGGCCTAAAATGGGAGTCAAAGTCTGTACAATCGTCGCTGCATAAATATCACTGACACATAAAAATTCGCAAGAGCATAATTTCATCAGTTTTCCATCAAATTTTGTACTTTTTGTTTTATTACCTTCAGAAAAAGATCCTCTACCATTTCATAAGAAAAAATAATTTTTTTTTTAAATTCTTGGACCCTGGTGCACATTTTGAAATTTGGCTTCTGGACCCTGAAAGGGTTAAGATTGCCCAACAAACAGCTGAGAGAAAATAATAATAATAATAATAATAATAATAATAATAATAATAATAATAATAATAATAATAATGTCTTTATTTACTACATGTACATGGTATACAGGCCTAGCTGACATCAGTGACATACTACTATATAGAAAGCCCATTGTTATGCTAAACATTTCAGGCAAATTAGGTCAGTGTCTCAAGATAAGACACACACCAGCCCACTAACACCCATAGTAGTAGCAGACAGTTGTGTTACGTAGTTAGTAGTAGCAGACAGTTGTGTTAGGTAGTTATCCTAGGTAAATGTGTCATCATTCCTTCCTACCTACCTACCTTTCTTTCTTTCTTCATTCTTTCCTTCCTTCCTTCTGGTTTCTATAATATATATATACACATATATAGTCCCAGGACACTTTCGTTGTGTGTGTGTGAGTGTGTGGACTTCTAAATGTGCTGAGTCAGGGTTCGGCAGCTCTTCAAAATGACATATTGTATCATTACTCACTCCCCCTACCGCCTGTCAAAACAATGGGGTCTGATGCTTGCTTCCCCTCCATCTTCCTACCTAATTATCTTTCTCTCTTTCTTCTTCTTTCTCATTTTTTTCTTTCTTCTCCTTTCTCCTTTATATTTCATTATCTTTCATTCTTTCATTCTCTTTCTCCTTCATTCTCCTTTCTCCTTTTTCTTTCTTTCTTTCTTCTGGTATCCTGGGCATTACTTTCGGTCACAAACTCCTCAAAACCATGAAATTGATCTTCACTGACACTTCCATCTGTGTTTGAGCAATCATTTAGGAAGAGAAGAGTCCCAGATTTGCCAGGAAATCACATATTTCTTACTGCTAGACATACTGAACAAGGACTGTTGAAATGGCATTCCCACAATGCACCACTGGCTTCCCAATTTTTTTTATGTGGCACACTCTGGCCATGGAGACCCATTCTCTCACATGTGGGCCTACCATCTTTCTCATGTTTGATTTGAAGCTGCTAGAATTTTGGCGTGTTAATACGTCAAACACATTGGCTCGTAAGACGTATTTATACAACCAAAACAGTCAAAGGGTTAAAGGATCCTTTTCACTTTATTATCTGTTGGCTCAATGTTTGCTTTTTTTTGAATGTTTTCTTTCCTGTAATGACTTTTCATTTTTTATGGTGGCTTGCTTAGTATGAGTGAAAATTGACCTTTTTCACGTATTTTGCAGAAAGAAAAATCTGTAAGGACGCCAATGAACACTCCTGGAGATTATAATGCATCATGTGTTTTGAAAATGGAAGAGAACAGCATTGCTAAATGCTCCTCAGACACAATACTAGAGGGCAATATTGATGAGCATGCTTCAGACACAATACTAGAGGGCAGTATTGGTGAGCATTCTTCAGACACAGTACTAGAGGGCAGTATTGATGAGCATGCTTCAGACACAATACTAGAGGGCAGTATTGATGAGCATGCTTCAGACACAATACTAGAGGGCAGTATTGGTGAGCATGTTTCAGACAATTCTGTTATGCCAGCTCTTCAGTCTTCAGTGTATGATGAAACATTGACCAGAAGTGTGACATTTGATTGCAGAGGAGAGCTTAATGAGAGCACAGAGAATGAAGACAGCACAGATATTAATAAAGAACTAGATGATGCACTTGATGAAGGGTAAGAAAAGGATGTCTTTTTACTGTATATAAATCTTGTTTCTGTATGTACTGTATACAGTGGAACCTCGGCTTATGAATTTAATCTGCTCTGTGGACTTTTTCATATCCTGATTTGTTCATACGCTGGGTCAATTTTCCTCATTTAAATTAACTGAAATGCAATTAATTCGTACCAGCTGAATTCCTGCTCTTAGGAGGCATGACAAAATAATCCTGTTATCAACTCTACGGCTTATTTGTCTGTCACAATTCATCTAATATGACATAATAAACAATATAAATAACATACAAACCTGATATACACTCTAGAATAAATAAAATGTGTCATTACGTGGGCAGCAGAGGGAGGAGGATTGTGGTCATGAGAGTGGTCGCTCATTTTCGTTATGAAAATGTCAGAGGTGTTATTATAAGAGAAAACAGAGTTTGTGAGGCTAACTGAATTAAATCTGGTGTACATACGACATTTACATACCTTGGAGAAGAAATGCCGAGTTATCCTGTCAGGAGTTCACAATTTTCTTAAGAACTGCTATGTACAATTTTTATGTTTATCTCACTACACTACGTATCTCCTGTGAGCTGTTTCTCCATCAACCATGTCAACAGCAGCTTTTCCACCTTTTCATTGACAGAGGTCTGCTGCTTAGAAATTACTGTAATGCCCTTTGCTGATGCTATAGCCTTTATAGACTCCTTCTGCTTTAGTATTGTACATATAGTAGAGGGGCTACGCTTGTACTCACTAGCCAAGTCCTTAACCCTTGTACCTAGTCTGTGCTTATCAATGATTTCTTGCTTTAATTCCATGCAAATACAGTGGACCCCCGGTTCGCTATGCTAACGGTATCCGATAAATCCGGTAACCGATGCATTATATCGCCAAAAATTTGACTCGGTTCCCGTTACAAAACCCGGTATGCGATGCGATTCATACGAGACTTGTCCACATGTGGCATGAGCTGCCCTGTGTGTACCAGTGTTTACAAGCCAGCCAGTGTGCACGCATCTAAGGATACATTCGGTACATTCCATATTATCCATATTATCACTGTTTTTGGTGCTTGTTTCTGCAAAATAAGTCACCATGGGCCCCAAGAAAGCTTCTAGTGCCGACCCTTCGAGACCAAGGGTGCTAATAACTATTGAAATGAAGAAAGAGATAATTGCAAAGTACAAAAGTGGAGTGCGTGTGTCTGAGCTGGTCAGGTTGTATAGTAAACCCCAATCAACCATCTCTACTATAGTGAGCAGGAAAATGGCAATCAAGGAAGCTGTTCTTGCAAAAGGTGCAACTGTGATTACGAAACAGCGACCGCAAGTGTTAGAAAATATTGAGAGACTGTTATTGGTGTGGATAAATGAAAAACAGATAGCAGGAGATAGCATCTCTCAAGCGATCATTTGTGAAAAGGCTAGGCAGTTGCGTGACGATTTGGTAAAGAAATTGCCTGCAACTAGTGGTGATGTGAGTGAATTTAAGGCCAGCAAAGGTTGGTTTGAAAGATTTAAGAATTGTAGTGGCATACATAGTGTGATTAGGCATGGTGAGGCTGCCAGTTCAGACCACAAAGTGGCTGAAAAATATGTGCATGAATTCAAGGAGTATATGGAGGCTGAAGGATTGAAACCTGAACAAGTGTTTAATTGTGACAAAACAGGCCTGTTTTGGAAGAAATTGCCAAGCAGGACCTACATTAATCAGGAGGAAAAAGCTACCTCAAGTCCTAATGGAGGGGGAGTCCCCTTCTAAACAGTAGGTTCAACACACTCCCCTCCTCCCATCCCATCAATCATCACCAGATCTTTATTAAAGGTAAGTGTCAATTATTATATTGATATTATTTTATTGTTATTGTTGTTATTGTAATTATTCTATTGCATTAAACTTAATATTTCATGTGGTAAAAGTTTTTTTTTTCATACTTTTGGGTGTCTTGCACGGATTAATTTGATTTCCATTACAGTGGACCCCCGCATAACGCTATTAATCCGTTCCTGAGAGCTCAGTGTTATGCGAAATTATCGTTATGTGAATTAATTTTCCCCATAAGAAATAATGGAAATCAAATTAATCCTTGCAAGACACCCAAAAGTATGAAAAAAAAAAAATTTACCACATGAAATATTAATTTTAATACACACAAACTTAAGAAAACATGCACAGTTACATGACACTTACCTTTATTGAAGATGTGGTGATGATTGATGGGATGGGAGGAGGGGAGACTGGATGGTTTTAGTGTTTAGAAGGGGAATCCCCTTCCATTAGGACTTGAGGTGTCAAGTCCTTTTCCGGGGTTGCTTCCCTTCTTCTTTTAATGCCACTAGGACCAGCTTCAGAGTCACTGGACTTCTGTCGCACAACATATCTGTCCATAGTGCCCTGTACCTCTCGTTCCTTTATGACTTTCCTAAAGTGTTTCACAACAGTGTAAGTGTAATAGTCACCAGCACGGCTTGCAATAGCTGTCTGAGGGTGATTTTCATCCATGAAGGTTTGCACTTCAAGCCACTTTGCACAGATTTCCTTAATCTTTGAAGTAGGCAACTTCTTCAATTTCTCTCTCTCCTCCTCTGAAGCAATTTCCTCAGGTGTGGCCTCTTGCTGTTGAAGTTGATCTAGCAGCTCATCAGTGGTTAGTTCTTCATTGTCCTCCTCCACCAACTCTTCCACATCCTCCCCAGTACCATATACCGGATACCCCACACAAACATCCCAAACTTCAGTGAGAATTTAAAGTCACTAATAACAAACAGACAGATGAACAAGCACCACCTTCTCTTAGCTGGAGACTTCAATATCAACCTTGGCCTACCAGATGATCAGACACAATTGATATCTACCCACTACCAGGATACACACCAATCCACAACTGCAGACCATACCAAGTTGGGAGTGGTACTGCAATCTATTACTCTAACCAACTATCTTGTATTAGCACTAATTGCTTTAGTGATGAATATGGGGAATACATTTTTGCTAATTTTACTGTAAAAAAACCTCAAGACGCCAATAACAATCGGTGCCATATACCGGATACCCTACACAAACATCCCAAACTTCAGTGAGAATTTAAAGTCACTAATAACAAACAGACAGATGAACAAGCACCACCTTCTCTTAGCTGGAGACTTCAATATCAACCTTGGCATACCAGATGATCAGACTGTAACTGATTTCATCAACAATATGAACAACACACTTCTCATACCAACAATAACTAAACCAACCAGGCTGACTGAGACAAGTGCAACCATAATAGACCACATATGGACCAATATACTAGCCCCCCTTAAATCAGGGATAATCACAGACAGCACTACTGACCACTACCCAACCTTCCTCTTAACAAACATTAGTAAGCCACCACTGGAATACAACAAAGTTTTCATTTAGACTCCATGACGAGGCCTCAATAAAGAATTTCACAGCAGACCTAGAGACTGTTGACTGGCCTACAAATTCTCCAATGCCAGTGGTATTGGTGATTGGACAGACATTTTTCTTAACAAAATACTTAGACTATACAACAAACATTGTCCTATAAAAACGAAACAGATCACGAATAAAATGGCTTGGTTGCCCATGGCTAACCAGCAGAATTCTGAAATCCATTGATAAGAAACACCGATATGAAAACAATATAGACAGGGCTTAATACACAAAGATATTCTTAAACAATATTCAGCAGTTCTCACCAAATTAATAAAGAAAGCCAAACAACTGTACTACTCCAGCAGATTCACTGACACAAGAGGAGATTTAAAAAAGACCTGGAAAACACTTAACCAGATTCTGGGGACCCACAAACTGAAAAAACCAAGAATATTGTTCTAACTAAACCTCATGAAACACCACTGCATCCCACTGATACAGCTAACAAGATAAACGACTTCTTCTCAAACATAGGATCTGATCTCGCCAGTAAAATCCCACGTACCAATGCCTGTGCTGGGGACTACCTAGATGGGAATTACCCAAATTCCTTCTATCTTGTACCAACTGAGCCCACGGAAGTCACCGCGATCATAAAGTCACTTAAAAATAACTTGGGGAATTTTTCTCGCGTCCCACCATTATTGTACAAGCGAGCGACCCATGTCCTTTCGCATGCTATTACATTACTTTTTAACAAGTCACTAGAAACTAGCACTTTCCTGATACTACTCAAGACAGCAAGGGTTACACCAATACATAAAGGTTGTGACCCTACAGACGTAAACAACTATAGACCAATATCAAACTTACCATTGCTATCCAAAATCTTCGAGAAACTCGTGCACAGGAGACTATATTCATTTATAATGTCACAAAACATACTCAGCCCCTGCCAATTTGGATTCAAGAAAAATAAAAGCACTAATGATGCAATTATAAAAATGCTAGACCTGCTTTACACAGCATTGGAAAATAAGGAATATCCGCTAAGAATTTTTATTGACCTAAGAAAAGCGTTTGACACAGTAGACCACAGCATCCTACTCCACAAACTTGACCACTATGGTATAAGAGGCCATGTGCTTGCATATTTTAAATCCTACCTTTCTAATAGGTATCAGTATGTCACCATTAAAGACACAGCATCAACAACACAGCCACTTGATACTGGAGTTCTGCAGGGAAGTGTCCTTGGACCCCTGCTCTTCCTTATTTACATCAATGATCTTCCAAACATATCCCAACACCCATCTCCCACCCTAATCTTGCCACCCTCAACACCATTGTTAATGAGAAGCTGCTCAAAATATCGACTTGGATGACAGCCAATAAACTTACACTTAACGCTGGCAAAACCTACTATATTATGTTTGGTAGCAGAGCAGGTGTTGCGCAACTTAACATAAAGATCGACAACACTCTAGCCAGACATAATGAGGGCAAATTCCTTGGCCTATACCTCGACAACAACCTAAATTTCAGCACCCATATCCAACATATAACAAAAAATGTATCCAAAACGGTGGGGATCCTCTCCAAGATACGATACTACATGC